CGTTTTTCAGTTAAGGAGTAGTTTCTTTCCCCTTGGTCTTGGATTAAGAATGAAAATTTAAGATTAGGACCACAGCGCTTTTTTGAAAATACAGTTAATAATGCGAAATGTAAAACGCAATGTTTATGAACCAATTGAAAATATTAACTGCTGTAAAAAAGCATCTTACAGAATTTGTTTGAAAACCGAGTCGAGCATTTATACTAAATGTGCGGAGGGTATTGCCAAATTATTCATGTTTATACGTATTATGTAATATAAATTAGAATTATGTACACCTACACATTTGCCTCGAGATGATAAAACGTTTCAATTCGAGAAAAGGTTGCAAGATTTAACCGAAGAACAGATTTGAATTTCTAAACGAAGACGGTAGAATTGGAAGTTCCAACATCACAGATTAAATTTTAGACAATAATGCTATTGAAAATTCAATGTTTTATTTTTCTTACTACTGTTTCTTTTTTTACAATTAAGAATTTAATGTTATAATTTTAAATAATACTCATACAGTGTAAAAATTTATTTACAGTACGTACGACACATATATATAAATGTCTTAAAATCACTCTTCGAAAAGGAAGAGATATTTGATCCGAGATAGTTATTTTTCGAATTTGAATGTTATTTCAACGCATTCCGATCTGCCTACTTGCGAATTCATTATTATTATCTGCAATACACAAAAATGTTCATTACTCCGTATAATTCGAGCATTTGTGCACAAATTGTGGAATAATATCGAAATGTTTGCATGTATGGTTTCTTCTCGATTTTGAAACAAAGTCAAACACCACAAATTAGTGTTCACACGATCGTGATCTAAATAAAACAAAAACTAACTTACTGATAATAATATAGAGAGCTAAGTCAGTTTAGAAATAAATATAACAATTTTTAACCACAGATGAAGTTCTTAAGACAAAAGTAAAGCCTCCACTACTTTTTAAAATCTCATAAAGCAAAATAAAGATCATCTCAATTAAAAATGCGTATCAACTGGTTATAATTATAAAAACTTCAGTGGTATATTCAAAATGTTTCATTAAATATTTTTTAAAAAATATTATAAAAATAAAGATTCTCACTTGCTAGTGTATTACTTATTTTTCTCTTCTTAACTGTTGGTTGAAATAGT